TATATTTATTTAAACATCAAGATTTGGGTAACAACAAACTTATTAATTATTATTAACTATTAACACATAGTTATTAAAATTCTAAAGTTAAAACAACATACTATAATGTGAATAGAGGGGGACAAAATAAAGAGCCGTAAAAACATAAAATTCAAATTTGAAAACATTTCCGCGACTCATATTATTTCCCCAGTAGTCAATACACAAGTTTCAACGTTCAAAATACCAAGCGTTATGCCATATACGGTTGTCGTTATGTCATCTATCGGTCTTTCTGTACTGTCGGTAATTGCTGATGTGGACTAAAAATTTATTACAAGTTGAAGGTATCCTCCGTTAACTATGACATCAGGACGTCAAACACCTCAGCGCCCGCCGTGACCATGGGTGCCGTGAAGTGCCCGGAACGTCGGAAAATAAAAAAAAAATTCAATCTTGTACCGGTGAGGGAGGTGTAGGGCGGTTTTATGATAGGTGGAGTGACGATCTGTTAAGACATGGAAGAAGTCTTGAGGCAGTAGGACTTTTTTGCCTAGGATTCCGTTTACTAGGTCGATCTATTATAAGGTTAGAGGATGAAATTTTTAATGTAAATATTTAGATGAAATCCTACGTATACCTAATGTTCCTTGGTCTCAAACAGGTAACAAAATTTAACTTAACGAAAATTAGCTAAACCGACTTAAAAACAAAAAAAGTAAATATCTTCCACATCATAGAGCTACAAACATTTTTTCTGTCTAGAAGACCATCTGAGGAATATATTTTTATACATGTATACATGTTCGTCGATTAAGTTAGACCCATCTTCAATATATTTTTAGGTGGTCTTTTCTACATATGAGTCCGTTGTGTCGTAGTTGGTATATAAATAGCAGTTACCCTGCTGTGTTCTGGTGTCAAGGGTAAAGAGAACCAGAGTAATTACAGGGTGTGAAGCACTCCATTTTGGTCCTCGGAGGTGACAGTGCAACTGTAGACTTCTTTGTTTAAAGTCATTATTCTTTAAATCGGCAAAAGTCTTCTAGGCTATAAGGGAGCTTAAAAAAGTTTTACATGAATGAAATGCATTGATGCCATTCTTGCTATATTTATATTAACATAATATGCATTATTCAATGCATTTCTTCTTCACTGCTGGCCGTATGAGGACGCTCAAGGTCGCTCAGCGAGCTATGGAGAGGGCTATGCTCGGAGTTTCTCTGCGTGATAGACTCAGAAATGAGGATATCCGCAGTAGAACCAGAGTGACCGACATAGCACAACGGATTAGTAAGCTGAAGTGGCAATGGGCCGGGCATATAGCTCGAAGAACCGATAACCGATGGGGAAGAAAGGTTCTCGAGTGGCAGCCTCGTACCGGTAGGCCTAGTGTAGGGCGACCCCCCACTAGATGGAGTGACGACCTGGTAAGATATGCAGGAAGTCGATGGATGCAGGTGGCTCAGGACCGTGCTTTGTGGCAATTACTTGGGGGAGGCCTATGTTCAGCAGTGGACTTGTGAAGGGCTGTGATGATGATGATGATGATGATGCCATTCTTTGAAGCAAGCTTATGCCCTAGTCTGATCAATTGAGTAGTTGACTTTTAGTTTTTAGACGTGGTGGGGCCATGCTGCAGCTATATTAGTAGTATAGTTGTAGAATGAATGGGTCGGCTCGACCAGGGAAGGAACACGCTCTCACGCTGTGTTTCGTATGGTGAGTGTAGAGAACCGGAGACCCTTTTTACTGGAAATGAGGCATTACATCTTAGTCAGCACGGGTGACAATGCATTTACATTTTGATTCGTAATCGAGGATAAATGTAGATGTCTATGAGTCACAGCAACCACTTACCATCAGGTGGACTATGTGCTCGTTTGTCATCCTTATACTATAAAAAAAAGAGTAAACAGTCGCTCAGAGTAGTGGTCGAAGTCTACATGTCCAACACTATGATTACAAACGCCTAAACGGTCTTTCCTCAACTCTCATACTGCTATATCTATATTAGTACGTTTATGCACGGCATTTATGCTGTTGTAAAGATATCAGCTGAGTATACGGACCCGTCGGTAAATGGTGTAGAATAAAGTCCGAAAAACGCTACGATAAAGCGTGTATATCCTTTCACTGCAGGCGATATACAATTTATCACGTTTATTCAATTAAAAAAGTATTCCAATACAACTTTCTTTTGTTATAAAACCGGTAATTCAATAATTTAAAAACGGTATGCAAATTTAACCTCTATTTCGATGAGATTAGTTCCGTATTTCTAGGTCATATGCCGGAACAGTACCATACCACACAAGTTAGTGAACGGCAACCAAAATCATTCAATGCTTAATATGAAAACAAATCTATTTATCATAAAATTCCAGAAATAGAAAACCAAAATTTATGGACTCTGTCAAAAATACAGTATGTAATAGTAGAACTCAATCATGACTAATGATGATTGATGTATAGCGATGCTGTAATGCCGTCTACATCTATTACTTAACATTTCAATGGGAAATCAAACGCGACACCACTTATAGATTCACTATTGTAGCACAAGAGGTTTGCGTAATCACTTTTTCACCCATTTGTATTACCAGCTGGTATTATATATATATATATATATATATATATATATACATATACATATACATATATAATTATATATAATACCAGTTGCTATACCACAGCACGTTGATGCGGCAAAAGAAATAGTTGTGGAAACATCGTTTAAAATTTGGAAGATAATATATATTGTTTAATTATAGTCAATCAAATCTAAGAAATACATTTTGACAGCTGTCAGACTTCTTGCACCAAGCATGCCATCCAAAAAACAGGAACGTAAATTATTCGACTCTTAAAAAAATCAATATCGATTATTTAGAGTTGGTAATCATTTACAGTTTGGTTTGAATAATACCAGAATAAATTAAAAACGAATGATTTAAAACACAAGATTTATCAGTTTCTTCGTATTTGTTGGTACTGTTTATTTCTAGAGGCATAGTTATAAAAATAGGGATGTCGTTGTTTATATTAATTATTAATATTTCATTTTCAATAATGCAGTCAAAATTAATATCTCTTTCAAAGTTATTAATCATTTTTTTTTGTTTTTTCTACCACTTTTGCCCAATCATCCTTTGTGACATGGGCACATGCTTCAACGAATTTTTTTCATAGCATTGGGTGACAAACGAGCACACAGTCCATCTGATGGTAAGTGGATGCTATGGCCCATAGACACACATTTAACCACAATTAAGAATCAAAATGCAAATGCGTTGTCACCCCTGAGGACTACGATGGAATGCCTCGATTCCAGTAAAAAGGGTCTCCGGTGAGTGTAGATAACACTCACCATATGAAACACATCAGCATTACGCTGTATTTTACGCTGGTATTCTACCCTGGTTGAGCCGACCCATTCGTGATACAACTATAATATAGATGTGGCTTGGCTCTACCACGTACAAAAAGATATTATAGAAGAAACAGTTCAAAAAGTTAAAGCCGAGTCACAAAATAAGAAGACAAACACAAAATCACAAAATTACGCACAGTAAGCTCTCGAAACAGAAACTTTTTTATTCAATATAGATTATGAATAATACTTATTGAAAGTCACTTTTTTCATTTACCACTGGTTCGCAAAAAATACCTCTGTCCTGGGAAGAACCAGCAAGAAACCCAACGTTACTAGTTTTTTTTTTTTAAATAAGAGCTTATAATCATGCGTGTTACAATTAACAACACAAAACAAATTAGAAATAGCTTGGTAGCGATCACCCAGGGCTTATTATCACCCATAAATTCCTTAATATAAAAATAACCCTTTTTATACAAACTTAGTGTAATAAAGTTTTTGAACTATGTGTACTTATGTCAAATTTTGTATATTTTCTGGCATTTTGTTATAAAAGCGTATACATCGCCTCAAATATGAATAACTGATTCTGTGGAGTCGAGTAACTGGTACCGAAATGGCGGGATATTGAAATTATGTGGTGGTTATTTTAGCACGGCCCTGTATATGAGTTTTTTGCCTACAAAAATTTACTTTGACAAAGTGAAAATAATAAACTTGTTTTATTCATGATTCATGTTATTTATTTTTTATTTTAGGAATTTTGAAAATTAACATTAAATTAAACAAATAATACATTTAAGAAATAAATGATTCTATTACTTATTAGAATATTTTTACCGATTATTTAATTATGTTGCCGATTATTCGCATAAGAATGAATTTTAATCATCCAAACACTACGGTAATATACATAGACATGTTATTGAAACGACGTCAAGTAAAAAAAGTTAATACTGGTTATTTTTTAATAATTTGCTTTGTTTGAAAAATTCAAATTTAAATTAGTGATAAAAACTATACACGTTGTAATGAAATATAGATAACCTCATAATTCTTCGGATTTACGTAAAAGGTTATTTTAAATCGTGCGAGTACGCTTGTGCAAAGTTATTGCGGAATGATTAATGTGAAACGTCAAAAGGTATTTCTTAGATTTGGTTGACTATAGGAATGATAATACGCATTATTGAAATTGAATGATATATAAACTTTCAAATAAATTTGTCTGTGCGCATCACCTTCTATAAATTAATGGTTGTACTATGCCTACTGTACTAACCATCGCGCACGTGCAAGCAATAAGTTGACAGTTTTACCGTAATCTGATGAACGTTATGGCCGCGCATAAAATACAAATAAACAAAAGATAAGTTATTGTATAATATTTTTTTAGTTTCTCCTTACTGCCTGTTTCTTATTGGGTTAAACTTATTTTTGAAATAACTTTTACATATTTAAGCACTATATAATTAATATTATTAATTTGTCAACTGTAGCAAGCGATAGTATGTATATGTATATAAAGTAAGAACCAGTTATTGGCATAATGGATTATCTGAGAACTTCTGTTAATATTTTTATAACGTGCTATTGGTTCTATGATCAATAAAGAATTCTTTTTAAATATTAGAAAAAGACGATATTAATCATTTTCATCATGAAGTATATTTGATTCGTCCTTACTCATCGTATTACTAGTAGCACTATTTATTACAATAGAAGAGACCTCTTCTATTGTATTAAACCGTTCAATTTGTATGTCTGGTACACCGCAGCGGTGTGTCTCTGCACCAGCTATGAGTCTACTTCGTAAGGGACCCTTGTAAATCTAAAAAATCATATTATATCTTATATTTGATCATTCGGATTTACAATCCACCTGTGGGACTGAGGGGATGCTGTGGCCCATATACATCTACATCTTACTCTACTTGATTAAGAATCAAAATGCAGATGCATTATCACCCCTGAGGGCTAAGATGGAATGCCTTGATTCCATTAAAATGGATCTCCGGTTCTCTACACTCACCATGCAAAACACAGCAGCGTTAAGCTGCTATTTTACGCTGGTATTCTGTGAGTATATGTCTCATATTTGTCTGGGACTTATATGGATCCCACATTTATGATGCAACTTGATAACAAAAAAGAATAAGAGAAGAGAGAGAGAGAAGAATGGATGTGAGCCTTTTGATTCTTGTAAACCACTTTCCTGAGTAAGATGAAGCTGTAAGAGTCGCATAGACTAACAGCGCTAACATCCAGAAAATAATAAACCACTTTTTAAACAGTTGAAAACGTAAAAGTTAGTCTACACAACAGTATTCACAACGCGTATTATGTAACAAAGTAAAGTAAGCCTAAGCTGTTAAAACTAATTGGAACTTAATTACTTTCTGGTGGAGTTGCACATAGATAGCATTACGAAACCTCTTCAAGAATCATAATCAAAGCACCACATTTAAAATTAAGTTTCCTTTATGAGCATAAGATTATAATTTCTTCAAACAAAATCGACAGATGAAGTCTTCCTTTTTATCTAACATCCACAAAAGGAGAGCAATATTGTTCGGGTTTTTCTTTGAGTCCTTGACCTTTACTTAAAACTTTTAAACTAATAACTTTGATGGACTTTTTCCTTTGTCAGTAACTAAGGAAATTGCACTTATGGTCCGCCACCATTGCAAAAAGTAATAGCTTGCTTATGTATACCAAGCGTCCCTGCTCCCTGCCCTGGTCGTTAGTCGCCGTAGACATGTCGGTGGATGTCGTAGTCGCATTTTAGTCAAATTGAAAAAAGAAGGAGGTTCATTCAATTCTATAGTATATTTTTGGTTTCACCGATTTAATTACTTATTCCTTTTTTTTAATAGGTTACACCTGATGGGTGTGAACCAAGATGACTTTAAACGTTTGTTAACGCTATAAAAATGAATTAGAATGATAATTGATAGAATCAGGCGTTGCCTACTTTGCGGTAATCCATTATAATAAAGATATTAATAGTGACCTTGCAACCATCCGCTCAATTAAATACAATGATGTGTCTTATCTACATTGAAGAGCACCTCCCGACCTCCCTCAATTGCGTGCACTAATCCCGTCACCACTAATCCCAACACCACTACTCCCAACACCACTACTCCCAACACCACTACTCCCAACATTTCAGGAAAGACACACCATCGACGATAATACGACACGTGTTTCGCCTCTACACGAGGCATCTTCAGGTGATGTAGACTCCACGGCGGCTTAGCAGTTGAGTCTTTTATCTTTTGAATTCAAAACGCGTGGTAATGCATTATTTTAACTGATGTTACTGCGCACGCACACATTCGTAAGGGTCGATCGTTACTCGTTAGGTAAAAACGTTGTTGCCCATAAACCACATTCAATTTGGGATAATTTCAAATAAAAGTAGAAGCCTTATTTACTCGTATTTTCAAAACTGAAATAACGGTATATTATTTATACATTTCATCTTAAGTTTAAAATTTGGCTGTCCTTTGAAAAATTACCCTGTATAACTTATTTTATTTTTTCTATACACTTAGCACCGACTACAGTAGGTCAAATTATTTTATTCTCTTTAGTTCTTTGAATCCGACTTTTACCTCTTATTATTATTTACGTTTGTCTGTACACGATCTATGTAAATCAGAAGTGAAATTCTAAATACTACACATGCATTAACTAAATTCTGAAAATTGCGAGTTCATAACTTTCAAGTAGTTACTTCAATGTTTCCATGATGCTTCAAAAGTGCACACCGAACACTTTCACTTATATCGATTTTATACTTACAGATATACTAAAATAGCGGTGAAATGTCGGCAAATACATCATTGTGCTAAATTATGCGATGTGCGCTCCTTACTGATTTCAAACAAGTGATATGTTTCGGGCGCAACCACTTTCTAATTTGCGCTATGTAATTTTCGTTATTAAGTCTTTTTTCATAGAATAGTATGATCCTCTATTAACATCATGGTATTCATTACCAAAATCTACCTTAATGAAATCGGTCTCTTCCACAGGACAGATGTAGGACTACTCAGCGAGTTGAAATAGCAGAAATAAATTCCTCCGTCAAGGGGTGGCACGACCACAAATGGTGGCAATACTAGATTTCTCACATTTTTAAATAGCTCTCTTTGCCAGCCTGGACATTTTTCTGACATGTGAAATAGTTTACTATTTCACCATTGTTTACGTGGACTTTACTCACCGCTAGACACAGACTTCCTGACAGGCTTTGTTGCCGATGGCTTTTAAATTTATTAAACGCAGGTTTTTTGATGATGTTGATTCCTACACATGTAGAGCACGTGGTAAATAAGCACTAAAAATTTAGTCTAAACGAAAATTAAATTTTAAATTACCACAATTTCATTGATGCAAATATTATTTTTATATATTTATAATAGAAACGCATTATTAAAGAAAGAAACAAAATTAGATATTTACGAGAACTTCAATAAAGAATGGGTGCGTTTGGCAGAAAAAAGCGCTAGCAAGCGCTTATAAGCGCTGAAATAGTTTTCGGCCAGGACACGATTGCTACTTCGGTGGCGCTGACACAATCCGCCATTTTGCTTATTTAATTTGTTTGTTTTGAAGTAGATTTATAAGTTGTTTTGTGCAATATTAGTTTTAATTAATATAATTACATGAATAAACATATACATGTTATTAAAAATTCATGATTGGTAAGTTTTTAATATGAATACTTTACAAACATATATTTAAATTAGGTTAGGTTCCCCGGTTAAAACTAACATCGTGTCCTGGAGGAAAATAGCTACTTACGATTTGACAGCGCTTACCGCTTACGATCGCTATTTTGCTTACAAGCGCTTGCTAGCGCTTTTTTCTGCCAAACGCACCCATTGTGTCTGAAGACTACCATCTGCTTGGCATTCTATATTTAAAAAAATAAATGACAACCCGAGCATACCACTGCAAGAATTCGCAATTATCTAATCCGTGTTATTAGTTCCTTTTGCGTACATCGAATTAAAAATTATTATTTTTTTATTTACAAATAGTCGTGGCTAGCTATGACATTTGAACGTTTAACACCTCAGCCCCCATGAGCATGTGTGCTGCAAAGTATTCAAAACATCGGGAATATAAAAATAAACTATTTAAATGCGATGAAATCCGTAACAAATAGTTTCTGTTACGGCACTCATTAGGAATAATCCATAACCAACCGTTTCTATATGTAGCGCTTATGCGGTGAGATCTGTTAAGATAGAATGCACTATCGCATACACGATGTCTACGTAGCCCTGATAATTAAATAAAGAACATAGAGTTTTGTTTGATAAGGTGATTTTTCATATTTACTACTAAATGCAAAAATGAGGTTACTTTGACGGGAGAAATGACGACCGATTTTGACAGGACTTTCACTGATAAACGGCTGATGTTATAAGGAGTAACTTTGGCTACTTTTATTTTAGAAAAAATATAAGTGTTCCACGCAATAAATTTAAAACCTTGAATTACACACGGGCAAAGAAATTGATTTTTTTACTTAGGTAACGGTAAGTGAAGGCGTTATTAAAGGCTACGTAACAGTAAATCCACTCACTTTTACTTACAATTTCTTAACATAAAATCATCGTGAAAGGGCTCTACCGTGTACTCCAATTTCATTCAATACAGCTGTCTGAGTATGAAATTATGTCACACTCGACGTTACGTAAATGCACGTTTGTTAAAACCGCATTAGCACTTCGATGTGCCGTAATAGCGATTAGAAAATTACGTTATGTTATCGTTGTATTAATCACCGAGCAATGACCTCAGAGACTGTATCGTATCTACTCCAAATAAAACATGGACCAATAAAGTAAGATAATGTAAAACTAAGATAATGTAGTCTACATTATCTACTCTAAATAAAACACAAAGTAGTTTCTAAGTAAAGTAAGCGAACAATCTACCGCAATACAGTAGCCTAATTGTTAAAGCTATGGACAACGAAACTAAAAAGTCGTGTGTTTAAAACCGCTATTCGACTATTGACGTGAAACAGGCATTTTAGGATTTCTTAAAACGGTTAACAGAAATATTAATAATATTAATAGCGTTACTAGTATTCTTTTATAAATAAACCAATAAAACATAAGTCGTAGTAGCTCAGTGTAAATTTCACAGTGTAGTTGCTGTAAATTTCACAGTGCGCGAGCAACCCGGGTTCGAATCCCGCCGGCACGTCGTATGAAGTTCGCCAACAATCAATGGGGCAGCGCGGCGGACATTTACTCACCCTAAAACTCTCTCAGAGATGAGAGGATGTCTGTGCCCAGCAGTGGGAAGTAAGTATACAGACTGTAACTTTAAGATATAAGGCCTACAGCTCTTCTCATTTTTTTCCGAAGTTAGGGCAGGAAGTGACGTTAACGCTACGTCACGCTACCCCAACGCGCTTTGGTGAACTTCACATGTCCTCAATTTATTTAATGTTTAAATCTGCAGTCATTCACCTTGGTTTCACGAGATAAAGTTTCCAAGGTTGGTAGTTAAATAGTATTTAATAAAATGATCCGTAAAATAGTGTCAATAATTGCTATGATTTTTGACTTAAGGTAAGAAAATTAATATAAGAAGTCTTCCAGTAGAGATTAATTTAAAAAATCAGATAAAGCAGATGTTTCAAAATGGGCCAGGTCTATGTACACTACCTCAAAAAAAAGAGAAAAATCTGTAGAATTCTGGAAAAATACAGATAATTCATTTAAAAGTATCCTGTCGTGGTAAACAATTGATGTTTATCAATCATTTTATCGACTTTTAACATGGTGTCTTGCGGACAGTAAACCACCATTGACCATAGAAAGAGAACTGTCATTTATCACAACAGTGTCAAAAAATACGTGAAATAAACATGTCAAACGTCACTAATCAATAACAATGACAGCTTACCGCCATGACGGGTTTTTGTTGTATGTTGCAATTTCAAGTGTTATTTCCTGTGCTTTACCAGCAAACAAAGACATTATAGAATAATTGGACAGTTGAGAATCGTTTAAAATGTGTCGTCCCTAATTGTGAGTATACTGTACAAGGACCTGGCCGAGGCTCCATACATTTTGTAACAACTCATTTTTATAGGCGTTTCGGAAACAAAAAGATTCGACGCTACTAGCACATTTGCAAGAAAACGTTAACGATTGCAGAACAAGTAATTTCGCAAAATTGACGCTGCTTAACGTCACCGAGTGCCCCCCCCCCGTAGATTAGCCCCCCACAGATTGCCTCGTAAAGGGAATTTTTCCATAGTTGCAACGGCGGCTTGGAAAACACAGTTATTTTGAATTGTTATGAGAAAGATGCTGTGGCCCATTTCCTATTTCAATTTCCCTCAGTCGCCTGTTACGACATCCACGGGGCGATATGGGGAAGTAGATATTATACCGCCTCTACACGGTAACAGGAAAATATATTTATTGGTTGCAGATAAAAGTACGTACACTCTTTGCACAAATTGCAGTGGATGGATCAATAAAACAATTATTCACAATGACCGTCATATTATGATGAACTATATTTTTTTTCAGCCCAATTAGAACAAAGATCAAATATCTAGCCTGATATTCAACATGATACTTATCACTTGTTTATTTCAGCGATTTAGACACATACATTATTTCTTTCGCTGAAATAATCGAACCGTGATTTTGAAGCACGTCAAACCTATTAAATTACAAACAAATTTCCAACTCTTAGCATTATAAGGTAAAATGACGTTGTCAAATAATAATGATACGATATGTGTATGTAATGTGTTCGCAATATATGATTTTATATCTTTAAAACTGTAAGGTGACACGCACACCATGCGACAACGCAAAGAGTATAGTGATAAATATTTTATGTAGGTAACGAAAACATAGAAACACCAATTTTTTCTCTTAGCTTTCAAAATACCACTTACCTGTTACGCGCGTAGATGCCATTTCAGTTAGCTGTCAAAAAAGTGACACTTACCTGAGTGAGGCCAAGCCGGTAGCTGGTGACGTCAAGGTCTAACGCCAGCAGCATATCATCCACTATTTGCCGGTCTGATAGCGTCGCGGTCTGTTGAGTGTTTTCAGGGGTTTCACTCTCTGACGTGGCCAAGAGTCGATACCTGGAGATAAAACAGTTAGTGAAGACCTGGCATAAAGAACTTCCGACTCTTTCTCTGTTTTTACTATTCCAAACCAGCGCTTTACTACAATCTCGCCTGATGGTCAGTGGGGATGTAGCCTAAGATGATAAAGCGCACTGACTTAATAAAAGCCTATTCACTCTTGCCTTGCAGACACCCACACTGTGATCGGATGGAAAGCCAGATGCTGGCAATTTATTCCACTCCTTTGCTGTACGCATGACGAACGATGTAGCAAACCGTTTGGTGTGGTTATCCCATGATGGCAGGGAGAGGGAGGAATAAAGTAGTGCAATTTCTGCGTACACTCTCTGAAATGCGACCTTTAGAAAACCGAAAGGCTGGCTAATTCGCGCCTGTGTTCGAACCTGGCAAGATTGGTTTTAATCAGATTCGGGTCTCCATTAAGAGTCTAAGTACGCATTTCCATTAAGTCCAACAGTTCTATACGGGCTGGTGCTACAGAAATGCCACATAATTCGAGTTAAACGATGCAACATTACCTCTTAAGAAGTCTTTAATTTATATTATAAGTGAATTAGTAACAGTTTCGGGATCAGTAAAATATCTTTCTTATTATATGTATATGTAAATAGAGAGAAGTTGCATAAATTTTTTGACACAAATTTATATATAAATGAAAAAATAATTAATTTAATTTATATTTAGATAAGTTATTTTTATAATCAATTCTTTTTTTTTTTTTTGTAATGCCGTCGATTTGGCCACTTTTTGAAGAAAAAATATTTTCATATTTTGATGGCTTATAAAAAAAACATAAACCAACCACCAACCAAACCAACCATCCAACAAACATATTGGGTAAATTGTAATGAAGGATTTTAATTAGGTTATATATCCCTTAAACTCTTATACCATATTATTAAAATTATGTAAGTTGTACATAAAGAAAAACAACGAGTTAAATTCCTCCAGACCCCCAAATTTGACAAAAACATGATGTCTTTTTGGCACTTACACTATAAAACTAATATTGTTTGTAATGAACCTTTAATTAATTTGTGACTATCTAAAATGTCTCAATGTAAAGCTACTACACCGTGCTTTTCGTGTTAAAGACACAAAAAACGCCTTTTTTATAGATTTATTACTATTTAAAACTATACTACTACTATACTATACTACTTTGTATGTTAGCAAAATTTTCCCTTAAAAAGCATAGCAGCACAGTTTGGTAGTGTTTTGTAAATGCATAGGCAACACCAAGTATTCAGACATCACAAAAAAAGAAAATATGCAATGTTCTCGTCTCTGGAGTCTGTCAAAGGTAAATTTTGACGATTTCAAAGATAAATATCAGTTTTTATTGTACACATCTTATAATAGTATTAATGACGAATAAATAATACATGCATGGTAGTGTATCTATGTTTAAAATTTACCTCGATGTCGAGTTATGTCTATTTATAACCTTGAAAAATTGCGCTTTAACGTTACTTCTATATAACTTTGATGTTACTCGTAACGTTGATAGTATATAAGTATACAAGGTTTGTGCATATTGTAACTTATTAAATAAACTTTTTCGTTGGCATAACAACCTTATAAAAATATTAACCATTCTCTTAAAGTTTTGATTGTGTAGAGTAACAAAAAACCCCCTTAGTATTTTTTATTTGATGTGCAGAGGTTACTTCTATGTTACCGTAACATAGAAGTGTCTATGTTACTGTATCTAACTAAGTGGCGAAATCTACTTCCTTACCTTACTTAATAATAAACCTTTACTTATTAATAAAAATTGGAAAATTTTTGAATGAAGAAACGACTTGTGACGTCATTATATCCGTTGAGGCTGAGCAAATGGCGATCACGCTATACTTTTGTATTTTTTATATTCGGATCACCATGTGTATAACAAATCATATAAAGTATAAGTCGAACTTCAAAGGAGACACCAAAAATTTCGATTTATGGAGTTTTTGACTTATAAATGGTTGCGACTTGGGCGGATTTTGTAAGGAAGTATTCGAGGATTAATACTTGTAGAGGGTTAGATTTTTTTTTATAGAAAGGGGGGCAAACGAGCATGCGGCTCACCTGATGTTAAGTGACTACCGCCGCCCATGATCAAACGCAACACCAGGGGAATTGCGGGTGCGTTGCCGGTCTTTTACAAAGGAGTAAGCTCTTTTCTTGAAGGTCCCCAGGTCGTATCGGTCCGGAAAAATCGCCGGTGGTAAACTATTCATTCTAACTAATTTTGAGGCCTTAAATTTCTTTATCATTTCATAGAATTAGTAATCATATTTATTGTATACTCTTACATTGTTTTTTAAGAAATAATGACGTACATTGTCGGCAATTTTTTAAAATCGGTAACTTACATTAATTTTTCTGTAGGTAATAAGTTTCAAATTATCGGATTGTAAAAGTTGTCAAATCAAACATTCGCGATATAGTGGTCCAAATTATTTTTTCGAGTTACGGAAGAAAAATATGTACGCAATTGACATATAATTTAGAGGTTATATTATTATATATAATTAAGCGAGGGTTGAGATTTCGAGTTATCTTCGATCTATAATAGCACTTATTGATCGAAGCGAATTATGGAAGTTTTGAAGCTTGAAAGAAAGGGAACAAAACATTTTTTTGAGTTGACGAAGTTTTCGACTTACAGAGGTTCTACCATATATATAACCTGTATTATGGAAAGACATTTTTTTAATTTTGACAACGTAAACATGAGTGGTTTATCATTTCACCGTGCGGTGGCGGTACTAAAGGGATATAATGACGTCACTAGCGTTTGAATTTACATTATAGAAAAACCATTTTAATTGTACAATTACATGAAAATTCAATTGGCAATTTTTTGTTACTAATTTTTTGTAGACTCAAAAAAATTATATTAAAAAACATGCAACTTCCCTATTTCGATTCATCCAAGAGGATCAAAAATCCATTTCGATCCACTTTGAAAGACCTTATATGATATCTTTAATTCTCTTACTCTATCTAAGGTTAGACCTTCCCGATATTTCCCATAGTCAAATCTTACGATAGTCAGCCCACATCACGATATTGTCGATTTCTTTAAGATGTTGAACTGATTCACCAACATTCATTTCATTACAACGCGTTCACACGCCAAACTAATGATCCATAACTTTTAATCTAAAACTAACCTTCTTGCAAATTCTGAAAGCGGCATGTGTTCAGGAAACCCTTGCTTGTATAGTCTGGCCGCGTCGAGCAGTTGAAATCCGCGAAACTAAAAAGGAAACGAACTTCAGATTACATGAATATAAAACACAAAAATTGTCGTTGAAGTGAGAACTGCAAGGGAGCATGACAAGATAAAACTTCTAGTCTAATGAGATACACAACAGAAGTGCCTATATTTATAAAACGAAACAATGATACTATTGACTTTTTAAATAACTTTTAACGTCAACCGACTTTGATTTCTTCAGATCGAAAATAGTGTTAGGTTGTTTATTATTAACGGACTTAAGAAAAGGTGGGAGAATATATCATCGCCAGCTTTAAATCGATCTTAATGATTATTTCTTTATTAAATAGGTCATAGTTCAGGGGTGGTCCCGAATATTTTATTATCACAATTTGGAGAAAAATGCTACACCTTAGGGTGGAAAATAGGGGATGAAGTGTTTAATGTAACTATATATACGACATTCTAGTTGCTGCCGTGAGCTTGTAATATTAATAAAAAAATTAAAGCCGACTTTGAAGAACTGCAAAAGAATTTTAAAAAATTTAAATAATTTCCACATAATAATCTTCCAAGCTGTTTTAATTCTTCTAAACACTGTCTTATGTAGAAATTATTTTATTTTTTAATTTCTTTAGTCGATTTGTGATTAAGTTTTGTTTTATCAAAATACGCTTTCAGTTTTATTCTTACATTTTGAACAACAGAATAAAGTTATTGCGTTTTTATAAACATAATTATAATTTCCGTTCTTTCCTTGAAAGTTTTAAAAAACAAATTCTAGGCTTTCGCTCTCTGATGTGACCAAGAGCCGATAACTGGCGGTGGTCCGGCCATAACTCAAATAAACGACAAGTAGCGGGGAATAGTAGATCCTCGTGTGGCAGATTCGTAAGGGTAAGGGTGTAGGGCGGTCTTGCTTCATGAAGTGACGACATGGTAAGACATGCAGGTAGTTGATGGATGCAGGTGGATCTGAAGTTTGTTTGTTGGCGGAGCCCTACTTTCAGCAGTGAACGTTTGTAAGGTTGTAATGATGATGATGATTAAAGCAAATTCTAAACAAACATCACTAAAACTTTCTAAGTTTTCCAAATGTAAAAAAGAAAAATATACCTGGGACCGAAGCAACGGCACGTTAACATCGTCGGCCATATCGGAAGGCTGGTTGGTGAGGAGACAGCATACAAACTGCACACCTCCGGAACCGCAGCGTCTTAGTGTATCCACTACGCCATCAGCCACGAACTTTGCTTGCAGGGCTGTCGAGCGGCGTTTCATACCCGCTGTGCCTGAATAATTAAATTTAAATATCAAGTAACCAAAGTTCGGAGCTGAATAAGATATCTCTTAAAAAACTCATCGAGCTATAATTAGTCACTCATCGTTTCATTTATTTAGCGAATGTGTCGTCTAAATGTATAAATTACAATAACAACGGAAAAAACCCAGCGGGTAGTCCAAAGGAGTGTCGAAGTTTTTGAATTTTAGGTTATGAATGGAGGACAGAAGTGAACTGTGCACTCATTGCCACCTTTCTTCTTTGAAAAAGAATACTTGTGCACCTGTTAAAATTTTAAGAAATTTAAAACTTGCATAAAATTGTAAACAAAGTTAGCGTATGTCGTTAACTGTATAAGATATCCGTGTCAAGCTACACATTCTTAAATTCTTATTTAATTGTTATCTACAGTTCTTAGCAATTATTCATCAGAGAATGCAGGCTGGCCATATAGCTCGACGGATGACGGATGACAACCAATGGAGAAGAAGGGTTTTCGAGTGGCAGCCTCGTACCTGTAGGTGAAGTGTACAACGGTCCCCTACTAGATGGAGTGATGACCTGGTAAGACATGCAAGAAGTCGACGGATGCAGGTGGCTCAGGACCGTGCAATCTGGCATTCTTATGTTCAGCAGTGGACTTGCGAAGGGCTGTAATGATGATGATGATGACAGAATGTTGTTTAACAACAATCCGTAGTTAAAAAGAAAGAAGTGTAGTATGTTACCCGAAGTTAAAGTTCGTCGTATGGAAGAAGCTCGGCGCAGCGTGGAAGCGTCACCGACGGCGGCCGACCACGCGCCCACGCCGCATGCACCGCGCGCCCAACACGATAGCCGCCCCACGTCCTCGCTGCGGACAGAGTGTTACACGTTAATGCACTTACATGCGTACGCATGCATCCACGCACACACGCACGCACGCTGACAAGCTCGCACGTATGCACGCATACATGCATGCACGCACGCTCGCCAGCACGGAAGCACATACACACATACAAGGATTATTTTACATTTAATTGATAATGAAGTTAAAACAAATAATTATGCACATTTAAAATATTAAAATAAGTAAAAGGAAATATATAAATCTGACAACGGGTATGTTCCAAAATAGAACCCAGTGTACTGTCCAATGCAAATGACGTCATAAATCGACGCCATACTGGTGATTCGTTTCAAAACATTTGACAGTATATGACATAATACATTTGCGTCATATTGGAAAAGTGTTGGCGATTATTTTGTCATTTTGTGCTCCAAAAATCATTATATCCTCCTAATGGAGATAGCAGTAATTATTCTTCAATTATCTGTATTAGAATAAATAAAAACAAATTCTGGCATGCTTCATTCAGCGTACACAATTAAAAATTGTTTTAATATGGCCGGATATCCGACACAATATGTCAGCGGCACGCCAGTACAATGTTGCGTCAATTAATGACGTCATTTGTATTCAGCAGTATACTGGAAACGTTTCGGAACATACCCAACTTAAAACTATTACGTACTTCTGACTTTCCTGAAGAAGTGTATGTGCCTTCTTCGTGACGGGATTCTCTCGGCTTGCTTTGACCCATCCAGTTACATCGTACAACACCGGATTAGTTCCCTGTGACAAAAATCATGTTCTAGAACCACTTAACTGTTTAAACACATGTGCATTTTGATAGATGTGCAGGTACGGTGTACTGTATGATCGTTCGTCACACTTATACAAATAAACGCTTCTGTAATTGCTGTTTGGCGCTGTTTAAGCATTTCTGATAAATCAGTCTATGGTAACTGGAATATTTCCAGACAAATTAAAATTCTCATTGGTAAAGCCATTATTTATAGGTGGTAAAAAGACACTCATAAGTAACTCTTAGCCCAATATGCTGGTTCCTATCCTATCCAAAATGTATGAGAAGGTTATGCATGCAAAACTTACATCGTTTTTTGATAAATATCATATACTCAAACACAATCAATATGGATTTCCGAAATGTAAATCCACTACACATGCGGTATATGACTTAGTGAACGAGACCCTATACAACTAAACAACAAATCAATATACGGCAGCGCTCTTCTTTGATATGTCGAGAGGTTTCGAACTTCTAGCAAAGTTGGAGGCTACGTTAGAGGGACTGCTTTGATCTGGATAAAAATATATTTGCAGAATAGAATGCAATCAGTCGAAATCGCAAAACTTGACTCTAGCCATGTAGCGGCAAACGACAGATCTGAGTTCAGGGAAAATAAAGTTGGCGTTCCTCAAGGAAGTATACTGGGACCTCTTCTCTTCCTGATTTATATTAATAATCTCCCAAATGTGACCATGTATATATGTATCCTATTCGCTGTTGATATATCTGTAATAGTGACAACTGATAACAAATTGACATTAAATGACCACAACAATTACATTAATGAAACCATAATTAAAAAATTAACTGGCTTAGAAATAATAATTTAATGGATAATATTGACAAAACGAATTTAATTAACTTTAATGATATACAAAATTTTACATCAAATATACATAATTATGAAGGACAAATACTTAAAAATACAACAACATCGAAATTCTTGGGTATAGAAACTTGGAAACAACAAGTCGAAAAAGTGTGCAATAAAATCAATCGTTTCTCGTTTGCAATTTATAAATAAACAAAAATAGCAGAAAAAGTATAGCCCATACTGCGTACTTTGCTTACGTTGAATCAATCCTGCGATACGGACTCATCCTATATGGCAATAGCATGGACATAAAAAAGGCGTTCATTGCATAAAAAAGAGTGTTAGAGCAATATGTGGTACCGTACATACCGAGCCATGTCAACCTTTGTTAAAATCCTTGAAGATTCCTTGTCTATATATTTTTGAAGCGGCGAAATTTGTAAAGAACAATATGTATTATTTCATTTGTTTTTGAAAGAGAAGAAAGTAAAACGATTTGTGAAATAAGAATAGAAGGGGAGTTGATCGAGCAAGTAGATGAGTTTGTATATTTGGGCTGCGTATTTAGCAGGGATGTGAGATATGATAAGGATATAGAACGACGAGTGAATGCGGGAAATAGAGTAAATGGGGCCCTGCACTCTATTGTGAAGAGTCAAAATGTGTCAAAAAAGGCACGTATGGCAATTCACAATGCTGTGTTGGTCCCTACTTTAACGTATAGTGGTGAAAGTTGGGTGTGGCAGAAGAAGCACGAGAGTAGAATCAACGCAGTAGAAATGCGGTCGTTAAGGAGTATGTTAGGGCTGATTTACACAGGGTAAGAAATTGTGTAATAAGAGAAGAGTGTGGTTTGCAAGATGATGTTGTGACCAGGATTAAGAAAGGAATGCTTCGGTGGTTTGGTCATGTGGAAAGAATGAATGAGGAATGAGTGACAAAGAAAATTTATGTTGCAGAAGTGAATTGCAGAGTCGGATAGGGACGTCCTAGGCGAAAATTTATCGATCAAATTGGCGATTTATTGAAAACGGGCCAAATTAGGAGTACCCTTAACCGACGAGCATGTATGCGTAGGTGTATGGATGTGAAGGAGGCGAGAGAGGTGTGTCAGGATCGTGCCAAATGGAAGTCTGTAGTCTCTGCCTACCCCTCTGGGTGACAGGCGTGAGTGTTTATGTATGTATGTATTATTTCACACAAGACAAAGACCTTGTTGGTATTTGTCGACGTCGACTTCTTCGACGCGGCACTAGAAATAGCAATAGGTTAGGTGACAACAGAAGTGTTGTATCTTAATTTCTATTGATGTTACACATCGTTGTCCCTGGCGGACAGCATCCACTCACAATCGGCTCAGTGTAATGGTTCGTCATATACAAAAACTAAGTACACCTCAGTCATAGTAAAAATAACATGTATTGTGCTTCAAATATATTAAAATTATTATTATTAAAGGGACGTCCTAGGCGAAAATTTATCGACCAAATTGGCGATTATTGAAAACGGGCCAAATTAGGAGTACCCTTAACCGACGAGCATGTATGCGTAGGTGTATGGATGTGAAGGAGGCGAGAGAGGTGTGTCAAGGATCGTGCCAAATGGAAGTCTGTAGTCTCTGCCTACCCCTCTGGGTGACAGGCGTGAGTGTTTATGTATGTTTATGTATGTATATTAAAATTTACCTGCAAATGCTGTAGAACAAATTGCCTCGCATGGGGCGCCTTTTTAATGAGGTATTGCGTATGTTGCGGCGGCCCGTAGTGAGACAGCACTCTCTCGAGAAAGGAATCATCCGAAGAGCCCGGATACATTGATTCTTCGTCAAGAAGCCTGTATAACAAATAATATCATTCTGTATCCTTATATGTTAAATCTCTTTTTATTTTGCCTCCTTTACCCACACTTTCCAAACGTGGTAGAGCCATGCTGCAGTTGTATTAGTTGTATATTTGTAGCACGAATGGGTCCGTTCAAATAGTAGCTTAATGCTGCTGTGTTTCGTATGGTGAGTGTAGAGAACCGGAGACCCTTTTTACTAGAAACGAGGCATTCAATCTTAGTCCCCACGGGCGACAACGCATCTTCATTTTGATACGTAATCGAGGATGGATGTAGATGTCTATGGTCCACAGCAACCACTTACCATCAGGTTGACTGTCTGCTCGTTTGTCACTCTATCTTATAAAAAAAATTCCTACCTTCTAAAATATGTTTCCCCCCTCTGTTACTGATAGATATATGACTAAATATAATTATGATAGTTATTTCTTAACGCTTGACAGGCAGATTCACAATTACATCTTTGATGCTGTTGCCCATCGCCGGTCTGCGTATTTTACGTCTGCGTTGATCTACATACAAAAATCGATGCCATAAGACTTTTCCAACATTTCCAACAATCGCCTTATACGTCACCCATGGGACGAAACGGGAAACCTCTCACGCAGCCACTATACAGCAATAGCCCATCTATTAAGGCAAATCCTTGCTACAACGGGAGAGGCCCAGTAGCAGACGTTCACGTGTTGACAAAGGAAAAAAAGAGAAACGCTATTTTAAATTAATAAAATAAAATAAATACTATAATAAAGATATTAATAGTTACTTTGCAACCATCCGCTGATGAAATAAAATGATGAGTCTTTCCTAGTTTGAAGAGCACCTCCCGCCCTCCCTCAATTGCGTGCACTAATCCCGTCACCGCTAATCTAAGCACCACTACTCACAACACCACTATTCTAAGGAAAGACACACCACCGACGATAATCGTGTTTCGCCTCTACACGAGGGTGAAAAGGGAGGGCGGGAGGTGCTCTTCAAACTAGGTAAGACACATAATTTTATTTTATTGAGCGGATGCTTGCAAAGTAACTATTAATATCTTTATTATAATGGATTTCCACAAAGTAACGCCTGATTCAATACTACAGGTAGTACAAGATAAAATCACTACACAACTTTATGCTATAGATGGTGTGGCGATGAGTTCACTTACCTTCAGCATCCACTTAACATCAGATGGACTGTGTTATCATTTGTCACCCTTATAATATAAAAAAATCGCTAAGCCACCTTGAGCTTCCCTTATATGGCCAGCAGTTAAAAACCACATCTCAGATCCATATATCGTCAATTTAGTATAAAACATGAAAATATTTTATGGCGAAAAGCACAATTTTACTCCTTCTTAACTATGGGTTCCACTTAAACTCAATCCGTTTTCCTTACCATTTAAGTCATGATTTATGTATGTCGTTAGTAACGGCATCAGAAATCTTACTCCAGAAACTCTGATATTAACGCTTAATGTTACATTTTTTCGCGATTTTAGACTGCTGTTTCGCCGTCAACTTTAGGACAAAGCGTAAAATACAATATCACTGAAATATATTTTAATATTGCAGTGTCTAAATACTGTTTTTTTTTCCCACTTTTTGTTGGAAACGATTTCCCTTGAGACACAGTATTACGACTTTAGCATTGTAAATTCTATTAAATAATGTAATAAAAATTGTTATCAATTATTATGCTCTTAACATAAGAATACCTAATAGCCAAATATTCGAACGCTACTCAACTTTAAGATGTCGTTAAGTGTCGTACTGTCACGGTCACTTTGACTTAAAGTGATAGAGACAGCACGAGACTTTGTAATTTACTTATCGTTTTAGTACTTTTGTATTAGAGTATTGAGTGTTTGAACAGTAAAATAAAAACAAAGAAAATTAATCTGGGAATGGTTCCATTGCAGAGTCAAAGTACATACTCTTAACAAGGCAGTCAAGTGACCGTGTCTTTGATATTATTTGCCTTCCACAAATTTTGTATTCGGTTGGACTTTAAACCAGATTAAACTAGGCAATACTATAAAAGTATGTAAGTATTATAGACTAAAACTAAGTAAGTCTTGCAGACTTAAGTAGTTTAAAAGTGTAGTAGTTATATATTGTTTTTACCAGAGCAGGCCACGTCGGTCGCAATCTCGTAGGTCGGCTTGGGAACTTCGTACAATAGAATTTTGCGGAGACTTGTCCAGTAACTCCACCATCGGTCCAGGGTTAACTGTTTCGGAAAGCCAATCTGGAATAATATAAATGATAAGTTATAAATAAAATAATATAAAATAAAATAAATCTATATCCTTAGCGTGTAAGATAAGGCGATGTAGGAATATCCACTAATCATATATACATATCGTCGTACAAGGTAATAGAGGGAAACATACAGTAGATGCGCAGCAGCATCTTCCTGATAATAGCTTAAAATTATAAAAAACAACGGTCGCCAATTCGCCTGGCGAGCGTGATAACCATGGCAAAATCCCCCCTATGTGGGAATCTAAGGGGGTAAGGGGGAGGTCTATGTTCAGCAGTAGACTTATAAACTGTAACAAAAAGATATATAATATATCCGGTTTTTTTATTGTTTGGGAAGAGATAAATAAAATGGAGAAAGGGAAAACTAGAAACATTTTCTATATCTTCCATTAGTGAAGGCTTTAATTCTCTAAACAAAAATCCTTTCCAGGTGCCCAAGGTTTGCAGCAATTTTTTTATAAAAAGGATGCCGTAAGATAACTGTGAAAATACAAATATATAAATACTTGTTTTTGGATGCCACTTACCTTCCTCGGATCCGTCATCGAGTGTAATTCCCTCTTGAGCATATCTTTCCCGTGGGGCAACGAGCAAAGCGTCGTGGAACACTGCTTGTAATCGTTCCTGTTATTTTAAATAAAGTACATAATGAAATTAAATGATAATAATAATTACTGTTAAAAACATACGAGGGCGGCACTGAATGTTTTTAGAACTGGCCACTTGTAAACGATATAATAAAAAAATAAGTTCAAATTTTTAAAATGGAACTCCTTGCCAACAATTATTGTTTATGTATTTTATTAATTTGTCATTTGTTTACGATTTGGCGGCAAATTGAAAATTGTCTGTATCACGTCAGCATGAATTTAACGCGAGGAAATTTTCATACAAATGTCATTTAAGTCGACAAGAAAGTTATGATAGACTTCAATTGGCCTTTCACGATGAAGCCCCATCTCGTGCCACAGTTTACAACTGGTTCAATGAGTTTAAACGTGGTCGCACTAATCTCACCGATCCGATCTGCGTGAGGGACGGCCTTCTACGGCGACGACTGAAGATAACATCAGTGTTGTGCGGCGTATGGTAGAGACTGACAAAAGAGTGACTTAGCAGCAGATTCGGACAAGCTTAGGCATCAGTGTGAATTAGGTGCACAAAATCCTCCATGAACATTTAGCGGTCAGGAAGCTTTGTGCCCGGTGGATACCTATAATTTGACAGAGGCCCAAAAACTCCGTCGTGTTGATTGGTGTCGTGAACTGGTTCAAAGATTTAACGGAGGTGACTCAAATGCTGTGTTTGACATACTTACGGGTGACGAAAGCTGGATTTATTGTTATGATCCTGAATAACGTGGAATAACTGGGTCACCCGCCCTATAGCCCCGACCTTGCACCTTGCGATTTTTATTTATTTTCGAAAATAAAAGAAAATCTTCGAGGAAAACGTTTTATGGACGCCGAGGAAGCAGTGGCTGCGTTTCAAAATGCCGTCGAAGAGACCCCTAAGGACGAGTTGGCAAAGTGCTTTTCTCAGTGGTTCCATCGGATGCAGCGATGTATTGATGATTGATGTAAACGGACACTATTTTGAAAATATATAATAAAACTAATAACTTTCAGTGTCACCCTCGTATTCCTTAAAAATATGACCTATTTTTATCACTTTTTATTTGGACATGCACTAAAATATACCGTGTAAAAGCTTCTCTCAAAATCACGTTAATTATACATGTAAGAGCCATGCTGCAATTATATTAGTGGTATAGTTGGAGCACGAATGGGTCGGCTAGACGGGGAAGGACCACGCTGTCACAGAATGCCAGCGTAAAATAGCAGCGTAATGCTGCTGTGTTTCGCATGGTGAGTGTAGAGAACCGGAGACCCTTTTTACTGGAAACGAACCATTCCATCTTAGTCCTCACGGATGACAACGCATCTGCATTTTGATTCATAATCGGTATCAACTGATGCTGCTATATGTGCATATCACGGACATTTTTCGTCAGTACTATCATATGGTATTTTATTGTGGGGCAATTCAGGAGATATAATAAAAGTATTTAGAGTACAAAAAAATGTGTGCGTACAATCTATGAGGCAGGGTATACGGAAAACTGTAAGCTATCGTTTAAAAAGTACAATATCTTGACATTAACATGCTTGTACATTAAAGAAATATGCATATTTGTAAAACAACATCCTGAACACTTTAAAAGGCAGATAGATGTAACTGAACGAAATGTAGCTCCTAGAAATAAACATAAACTTATTTACCTCAATGCAGGTTCAATTTGTATGAAGGGAACTCTTACGTAAATGCTATAAAGGTATATAACAAAATACCCCAAGACTTTAAAGAGTTACCTTTAACCATATTTAAAAAAAATTGATACAATGGTTAGAAGAAAAATGTTTTTACGACCTAAATGAATTTATGTATTTTTGTGAAAAATAAATCTGAAGTCAGTAATATTGATATATATCTAATAATTAATTAACTCTGAAAGTATGGACATTAACAAGTAAGAACAATCATTACACAATGTGACATTTTAAAACCTATTTAAATGATATGATATTGAAATCAATTAATCACAAATGTACGAAATTGAATTCCCACTTGTTGTTTAAATTTTTTTTGCATGTATACCTGTAAAATATTCGCACACCATATAAAGTGCTAGAATGTAAATGGGCCATTAGACATAATTTAAGATCATACTTTATTATACGCATACATTCTGGCAAATAAATGAATTTGAATTTGAGGATAGACGTACATGTCTATGGGCCACAGCAACCACTTACCATCAGATGGACTGTGTGCTTGTTTGTCACCCTATCCCTTAAAAAAATCCAACCTCACTTTCAAGCGTTGCAATCTAGTGGTAAAGAATCCCATAACTCTGCCATCATACCACCAGCCGGGGTAAATAAAATTATCTTCCATCAGTTCTCTGATGTCTCATTTCTGAAGGGCTCCACGCTAACATTGTGCAAAAAAAATTTGTTGGTTTTCGGGCCGTATGTTTATAACTGAATCCGAGCCTACCTGCGATCGTATCGCACGTGGCTTACATCGACCACGATGAATAAGTAACAGTGTGTTTCTGGACGAAATTTGGACGTAGATTTAAGATATTGTAATAGACGTGTAGTTCACGTCTAGGAAATTCACACCTCTAAACTATTAGCCGCCGTACGTGTCTTTGAGAATTAAAAAAAATGATTATTTAAATAATAAATGTATAATTTATTTTTCGTACTAAATAATACCTGCAAATAATTAGATAACAGTTTTGAAAGTGGGGCACCGCTCTGCTGCCCAGAGCACATCGGGTTGTCCGCGCCAGGCGTATCCAGCAACAGAATGGATGCAGAGGTCCTGGCTGACGTCGACAGACTCCTGGAACAATTATCTTTGTTTAAGGGCATTACAGTGATAATTGTGATTACAGTGTACCTTATGGAAAGCAGCCACTTTCGATTACTAGGCACGCTTAACGGGCTGGGATACGTTATTGTTAAATAATATGGAGTACGATGGAATCTATAGTTGTGTACGATTATAATACTGAGAGTGCACTGCTGTGTTCTAATTTGAAGGGAAATGTGAAAGCGGATGCAATCTTTCATCTACCAGGCGGCCACAGTAACAATTAATGTGATGATAGGGACTAGTTATCTTTAATGAGTCAAAGGAATTTTAACAATTTCTTTAAATACTCCATTTAAACACCCCCGGACAAGGACAGAGATGCAAAGGACTCCTTATTAAAAAAAAGGACTACTTAAGGATTTATAATTTATTTTTTATTAACCATGCGTAGAGATGAAAATTTCTCCAGCTGTATTTCAACGGTGACGTGTTGGAGATTAGCATCTATCACAAGAGATAAAAAAAACCGCTACGCGTATATGAGCCATGTAGTGGTGGTGTAATAATATCCACTGCCCCATATCATCTCGTAGGTGTCGTAAGCGGCGACCATGGAGGTTAGAGAACAGGAGAACGATCACTACGTACTAAAGCATAGCCCGCCTGTCCTTGAAAATTGTAGAATGTATAGCGGCGCTGGCGTCGGTGAGTGGTAACTGCGAAGTTAGCTGTTTATGAGTACAAGTAGGCGAATTTAGTTGAATATTGTACAAATTTTCTCCGCAGCATTGGTGAGAAAATTTTCATGCTCCATAATTTTGTAATTTTTGACAAAAAGAAACATTTTTTTATTGTGCGTGGATGTGCAAGTGGTTTAGCATTTGATCGGAAAAATAGACTTAAAATGACTTTTATTGACCGAACTTAGCGATCGCAGCGCCTCACTTGTGGTGTCCATATTTCTGGGACACTATTTTCTACGGCGATCGTTCTCCTGTTCTCTAACCGCCATGGAGGCGACAGTCTTCTTAATAACAACTAAAAATAAAAAACCTGTGCTCGCGAACCCACTTGCCAAGCATGACAACTATGGCAAATATCTCCTTATGATGTAATATATGGGGAGACCTATGTTTAATAGGCTGTAACGGTAACAGGAGATATTTTTAGCGTGATAAAGATAGATAAGGTAAAAGTATATCTTACCTGTTGATAAGTGCTGCGACGATGTTAAATGTCTCATTATATAGTCCAGTTACAAATGCATCCAGTGCCTCCGAGCCCGGTACCTCCCTTTCGCTCGAAGGAGATGGAGTTCTGAAAAAATACCGACAGATATATTACATATTCCCTATCTCTCTTTCTTATTCTTATCTTTATAAATTTAACAAATAATTTGATGCAAGCACTTCAAATTGCTTATAAAGTCTTAGAAGGAAAGTTCCGCGATGCAGGTTAGCTATATATTTTTTTTCTGAATTTTAACGTTCATTATGGTCTTAGTTTATTTATTTATTTACCCCTGTTTATAGACCATTTTGATAATTTTATTTATTTACATCCAATGAACTCTAAAAACTACGAAAGACGTATTCCGCTCAAAAAATGGTATCATAAGCAAACAACCAATTAACTGAGCAAGGCGGCTAAAAATCTACAATCAACGCGCTATAATGATTTCTGTAACAAACATTAAATTTCTTTAACATGCCATTGCCTGTAAACGACGAATGTCTTCGTCTTCAAAATGTATGGAGCACACCATACTGGCACCCCTCTTCTGTCTAACTGAATTGCTTGTATGGGATTCCAGGTGCAACGTTTATAGTCAATTACGCTGCTTGTGTTAAAATCCTTGCATGATATTTTCCAGTACATTTTTATAAGTCCCATAATATCTTTTGACCTGGCCCCTAATGGTAGCAACAGGAGACGCTAACCCCATTTCCGAAAATTAGTGTTTTTTATTTTTATTTTATAGGATAGGGTAACTAACGAGCACACAGTCTACCTGATGGTAAGTGGTTGCTGCGGCCCATAGACATCTACATCTATCCTCGATTACGAATCAAAATGCAGATGCGTTGTCAGCTTTGAGAACAAAAATGGAATGCCTCGTTTCCAGTAAAATTGTTTCCGGTTCTCTACACTCACCATACTAAACACAGCAGCATTAAGCTACTATTTCACGCTGGTATTCTGTGAGAGCGTGGTCGCTGCAGTATGGCTCTACCACGTATTAACAACACTTGCCATCCTTGATAACTTACTCACATCTGCGTAACTTTACCAAATTCAACTTGTGATATTCAAAAAATGTTATAGAATATTAATACATATGTTATACATACATAATATATACGTAATAAAATAATAAGTACGTAGTAAAAGCTGGCTGGTTACTGGCTGCATAACATTATTTTTACTCAAATAAATGTAAAGCGAAATAATTTTATTTAAATATATAGATTAGTTATCCCGGCTTTTTTATTACAGGTCTTTTGTTAAATAATTTTACGTGGTAGAGCCACGCTGCAACCATATTATAGTTGTAGCACGAAATACCAGCGTAATGCTGCTGTGTTTCTTAAGGTGAGTGTAGAGAAACGGAGACGCTTTTTACTGAAAACGAGGCATTCCATCTTAGTACTCTCGGCTGACAAAGCATTTACATTTTGATCTTAATCGAGGATAAATGTAGATGTCTATGGGCCACAGCATCCACTTACCATCAGGTAGTGGACTGCGGACTCGTTTGTCATCCTATTCTATAAAAAATGGTGCGCGTTTGTTTTGTACTTTTATAGATCGAAATCAACCTTATTACACACGAGCATAAGTTAAATGCGCGTTGCGAGCACTGTTACTGTTAGCGACGGGACTTTTAACGAAAGAATATAATGGTAACAGCTCTTTTAAATGTAAGTAGTTTAACAAATTAATTTTAAAAAGCAATTAACATGAATTGCTTATTCCTAATTTAACCTTTCAACGGGCACACGGTCGGATCCGACCAAGGCGATGTTCCGTCAAAATTCAAGCGGTCGGATCCGACCGCACCCACCCACAGCACTTTGACCCATAAATACTTATATTTAGAGACTACTTTACTATGAAGAATAATGGTTTAAAAGTACTCTGGGTGGGTGCGGTCTCATGCGACCGCCCAGGATTTGACGGAAGCATGCAACTGTATTAGAATTTTATGGGGATTGAAGTGTTAAACACGCTTGCACGCATTTTGATAAATTTACGAAACATCTCTAGGACGATAAACAATATAGTAGATATTGGTCTGCCGACCCAAATATATTAATTTAAATTATATTCAGACAGTTCTAAGCCTGTGTTAATTACTTACGAAAAGAAAGTTCTTTGAATTTCTAAGAGCAGAAAACGTTTTTCAATTTAGTAACACAAGTCATTAAGCTAACCGTAAACAATGTCACGTATAATTATAAAACAAGAAAACATTAAGCAAATAGGCAGTTATTATAAGTTGTTACGAAAAAAACCAGACACTTCGTTTGTCATCTACTTGACAGTGGTTTAGAGAGAGTGCTTTATAGCAATAAATGTGAAGAAAACAAACAGATAAATTTTGTGTTTTTTGTTATCGGTTTTTAATTTGTTCTGATGTTAATCTAGATAAAACTCTAAATTATTATCAAACGTGCCAAGCGGCTCGCGCACCCGCTGCTGCCGAACTGGTACTGACATGCGTAGCTAGTGCACCTGAGCGCGGCGGGCGGCTGCGGCGAGGAGGCGGGCGAGGCCGCGGGCGCGGGTTGCACAAACACGGCGCGAGCCAGCTCCTCCACCGGCACGTCCAACAACCACGCCGCGCGGCTCGCGCACCCGCTGCTGCCGAGCTGGTACTGACATGCGTAGCTAGTGCACCTGAGCGCGGCGGGCGGCTGCGGCGAGGCGGAGACGGGCGAGGCCGCGGGCGCAGGCTGCACAAACACGGCGCGAGCCAGCTCCTCCACCGGCACGCCCAACAACCGCGCCGCGCGGCTCGCGCACCCGCGGCTGCCGAGCTGGTACTGACATGCGTAGCTAGTGCACCTAGCCGCGGCGGGCGGCTGTGGCGAGGCGGAGGCGGGCGAGGCCGCGGGCGCAGGCTGCACAAACACGGCGCGAGCCAGCTCCTTCACCGGCACGCCCAACAACCACGCCGCGCGGCTCGCGCACCCGCTGCTGCCGAGCTGGTACTGACATGCGTAGCTAGTGCACCTAGCCGCGGCGGGCGGCTGTGGCGAGGCGGAGGCGGGCGAGGCCGCGGGCGCAGACTGCACAAACACGGCGCGAGCCAGCTCCTCCACCGGCACGCCCAACAACCACGCCGCGCGGCTCGCGCACCCGCTGCTGCCGAGCTGGTACTGACATGCGTAGCTAATGCTAATGCACCTGAGCGCGGCGGGCGGCTGCGGCGAGGCGGAGGCGGGCGAGGGCCGCGGGCGCAGGCTGAACAAACACGGCGCGAGCCAGCTCCTCCACCGGCACGCCCAACAAACGCGCCGCGCGGCTCGCGCACCCGCTGCTGCCGAACTTGTACTGACATGCGTAGCTAGTGCACCTGAGCGCGGCGGGCGGCTGCGGCGAGGCGGAGACGGACGAGGCCGCGGGGCGCAGGCTGCACAAACACGGCGCGAGCCAGTTCTCCTCCACCGGCACGCCCAACAAACGCGCCGCGCGGCTCGCGCACCCGCTGCTGCCGAGCTGGTACTGACATGCGTAGCTAGTGCACCTGAGCCGCGGCGGGCGGCTGCGGCGAGGCGGAGGCGGGCGAGGCCGCGGGCGCAGGCTGCACAAACACGGCGCGAGCCAGCTCCTCCACCGGCACGCCCAACAACCACGCCGCGCGGCTCGCGCACCCGCTGCTGCCGAACTGGTACTGACATGCGTAGCTAGTGCACCTGAGCGCGGCGGGCGGCTGCGGCGAGGTGGAGACGGGCGAGGCCGCGGGCGCAGGCTGAACAAACACGGCGCGAGCCAGCTCCTCCACCGGCACGCCCAACAACGCATGCCGCGCGGCTCGCGCACCCGCTGCTGCCGAGCCGGTACTGACATGCGTAGCTAGTGCACCTGAGCACGGCGGGCGGCTGCGGCGAGGCGGAGACGGGCGAGGCCGCGGGCGCAGGCTGCACAAACACGGCGCGAGCCAGCTCCTCCACCGGCACGCCCAACAAACGCGCCGCGCGGCTCGCGCACCCGCTGCTGCCGAACTGGTACTTCAAACCCGAACCAACGTTCGCTGCACAACAAATTTACGATTCAGCGCTTATTGAGAACGGGATATTATTACCATATAAGTAAAATAAAAATAATATTCCTCAGTTTAGAGAGCTCGAAAGACCATAAATAATTTGTACGTTTAACAACAATTTTTCAAGTAAACATTAATGAAACCCATAATGGGTATTATTAGCCGGTAAGGGATTTCCTACAAATACCCTCAGTATTTAAATACTTGGTCCCTAGTGTAAATTCATATAACTGACCGTCGCATGGCGGTCATTACTATATGTATTTTCGATATAAGATTAAACAAGCTAAAGTACAATAAAATTAAGATAAAAAACACTGCAATTCAACGAAATGTTTAAAAACTCAACATTATAAATTACGGTTGGTGTTTATTTGGTAGGTACAAGCTAAGATTACTATACTAAACTGTGTTGACATTGAAAACAGGATACAGCGGACATCACGGCCCCCAAAGTTGACCTTGAGAGTTGTTCATTAATATATAATCGACCCTTTTTTTGTTTTTACGAACACACAATGATTATGTACCCCTGTTACCGGAACCTTTGTGAGATATGCAAGATAGAAACGATAATGTACCAAGAGATTCGAATTTCCATCTTGTATAATTTTAATAATTTCATAATGTTTCCTGTAACACAGCTCGAAGAAAATATAACAACGTTATCAAATTCAATAAATATATTAATATAAATATATTCCATATCCTTCACAAACATACGCAGCTTTTTAAAACTCACCTGGAGTAATGGGGCAAAATTTCAAATTGTTAAAAAAAATAGTAGAAAAAAGTGTGTATGCTCGTATTTATGGGGTTTCCATGTTTACTAAAAGCAAACCTAAGTTTTTTTTAAATTAAACAATGGTGATAAATAAGCACACAGTCAACCTTATGGTAAATTCTGTACGATATTACTAGCTCTGATATCAAATTTAGTTACCTCAAATCTAGTTGGAGACTAGGATCGTTTTGAGATGGCTTCAATACCCACATGACCCGGATCATTCAAGTATTAAATCCAATGAAAAAGTCGAGAAGCTCGCACGGTAGAGTTCAAAGAGTACCAACAAAGTATTAAATTTGGACGGGTCCAATATCTTAAAATATTTGAATACCTTTGGTAACACCCGACCACCCCAAGTGGCATATCGCAGCGAGTATCTTCCAAATCACAGCTTGCTCGGGCTCAGTTACGGAGAGCGCTTGAAGTGCTTCCTTTAATGCTGAGAATTCTGCGGGTGCTTCGGCTTTATCGCTGCAGCTGATGAACGGGTTGGGCGCATTAACTGGTGCTTGATCGAGGAGCAGTTCTCGACGGAGGCGCCCGTCGCTGCCGTGGAATAACCTGCAAAATATTAATAAAATAGTACAGTACTTGTGAACAAAACAATAAGAATAGATACCACCGTAAAATGAGAGTATATGATTTTTGTCACAACGGACATGTCGGAACCTCCCGTATATCGAATGAAGCACGGCCAAACGGAATAATACGTCATAAAAATGTTCTAAATAGTTTTTAAGTGCCAAGCCTGTGCATCTTATATTCTTTTTTGTTTTTATATTACGTTAGTCACACTTTCTCCAATATGCTAGTGGCAGTTTACATACACAAATTGCACAAATAAAACATACGTGGTACAGCGCGAAGCCGGTTCTGTTAATGATAAATCATGTCCTACGCTACTTTTAATTAATGACAACACCGTAGACTTTATTAACCGAATACTGCATTCCTTCTTAATTCTCAGGCTGAAAATAAACTTTATATTGCGTAATATCAAGTGTGTTGTGATACGATGTGCAAAAAATTAAAATTAAATTTTACATACATTTCTGTTTAAATGTTTATTTATTATATGTATATTGGAATTGCATTTTGTTGTTATTCCTCAAATAAAAATTGAGTGTCACTACTGTTTACCGTTTAGACTTTAGAGAGATCGTCTTATCCAACACTCATCTATGTATGTAAATACAAGTTTTCTTTTGTATAATACTTACGTGTGTAGCGCTCTCAAAGGCGACTGTCCAGGCCTGAAGTCGGGTAAAAGCGTTTGTACAGAGGCGGACACTAGAGCACCGCCGCCGTCGAAATCCAGCGACGTCAAAGACACAAACCGAGAGGCGTGTGGGTTGGAACTCGTGCTGCAAAATAAGAAAAGGATCTCAAATACACTAACACAACATACTGATAGTCCATGTTCTTGTTTAATACATTGGATACCTTTTATCACGCGTGACTAGAAGTTTGGCGGGAAAATGAAAATAGTGCTTTTGTTTCTTCTTTATAATTTGTAAATTATTCTAAACTCTTGTATTAATTTTGTAAACATACCGACTGGAACCGAAGGCATGGAGTACGTCAAAGGCTGCATTTAATCGATCTGCAGTGAGTTTGGATCCCTGTGCTGGGTAAGCGCTCGCTAAATACCAAACACAATGGCGCATAGCCGACGTTTTTCCGGATCCGGATCTGTAAGTAATTTATTACAATTAGTTAATAAATATCAAATTAAATTAATCAAAAATAAGAAAAAATATACTAGTATAATAAATAAATAGTAAATAAAAGAAAAATAATTAAAAATAATAAATGGATGATACAATGAAATTGGGAAGTAATGATTTTAAACGTAACATTATACCTGTTCAGTTGTTGAAGACTAGAGGATCATATACATCAATAATGGGGGGTAGATCAAAGTGTTCTAGGGATGGGCGTTAATAATGAGTATAATAATTTTTGACTTGGGGTATAATATGTAATTATGAATGAGGAATTTTAAATTTACAGTAATAAATTAATAAAATAATGACGGTAATAACATAGGCAACTAAGAGAAACAATCACTTCCATACTCATTTACTCTCACTCACTACAGCCCAAAAGCCGTGGTAGGTCAGAGGCTAAGCGCTCGTTGCAAATACGCAAGTACGCGAGTAACCCGGGTTCGATCCCCGTCGGCACCAATGAAATTGTTAATTGCAATTTTAAGTGCTGATATACCACGTGCTCGGCGGTGAAGAAAATATCGTGAGGAAATCTGGATGTCTGAGAGATAAGAAAAAATATTTCTTTTTTTTATAGGATAGGATGACCAACGAGTACACAGTCCCCCTTGTGTTGAGTGTTGCTGCGGCCCATAGACATCTACATCAATCCTCGATTACGAATCAAAATGCAGATGCGTTGTCACCCGTGAGGACTAAGATGGAATGCCTCGTTTCCAGTAAAAAGGGTCGCCGGTTCTCTACACTCACCATACGAAACACAGCAGCATTAAGCTACTATTTCACGCTGGTATTTTGTGAGAGCGTGGTCCTTCCCCGGTCGAGCCGACCCATTCGTGCTACAACTATACTACTAATATAACTGCAGCATGACTCTACTACTAATTTGTGATTTTCGCTAACATGCATTGTGACAGCGAAGCGGATATTTCCTTGCCCTAAAACCCTCTCAGAAATGAGAGCAGGCCTGTGACCAGCAGTGGGACGTACATAGGCTGTAACTTAACTTTACTACAACCCATCACAAGTCCACCGCTGAACAAAGGCTTCCCCTATATATTAAAACCATAGAATACTATAATACATACATAATAGAACGGGGGAGTGGGCGGAGCCCGTGTAGCCAATAAAATGCCACTAACACGTCAATTCACACGTATAAATGTCAACACGAGATGTGTTTTGACGTTACAATCGTTTCTAAATTTCGCATGCAAATTATTTAGCAAATGCCAAATTGCACACCATTTACAAATAAATATGTATTAAAATCCGTCTGTCAACACAACGAACCGCGTTTTTAGTAGTGGTTAACTGATAATACGACGTAATTGCTTGTGTGTGCTGCCGACGACGCCCATCCTCGTACAAAATAAGGCTGACAGCCATTCTATTGTCTATTATAGTATTCTATGATTAAAACACCTGCATCCATCGACTACCTGCAGGCGATTCATCAGCTTGTCACTCCATCTAGTGGAGGGTCGGCAGATACTGCGCTTGACAGTACAAGGCTGACATTAGACATATCTTTCCTGTCGATTGATATCCGTTGAGATACACATCGTCATAAAGCATATCATAAGCTAATCCTGCAATTGTGACTAATCTTCAAATCTAATGAATGATCTTATAGGCCAAAGATGTTAATACGGGTATAACATATCCTTTCCAGTTTAGTAGCTATCACTATCACTATAATATATTAATATTTAGTGATTCTGCATTAACTACTTTTTAAGTTTAGCTTCTAAAACTAGTTTTGCATGATAATAAAATCACAACAAAGCAAATTTAAACAACCTTGAACCTAAATTGTTTTAGGCGCGGTATTTTAAATAAGACGAACGTTTATAGAAATAAATTTATAAATTTCCACACAAATTGACATATTTATAAAATACTTCTATTTCATAATACAATCTATATACTGCATTAACTATAAGGCGTGATGATGGTGAAACTCATATTAAAGTTTACAGCAGGAAATTTGAATGTTCTGTCGGTCAATGACGGAAAACCCATTCAAATACGATGAACTCCAATTTTAAAGTCTGGTGAAGGGAAGCAGCATCACTATTGCGGGAGTATCGGCCCAGGTGCTCACTAACTGTTATGTCTTCAATCGCTGCAGCATACGAGGCCGCAAAAAGCCGGTATAAAGGTCTCCATGTATCAGTGGAGCGATTTATACTATCAAAAAAAGTATTTAATTTTACTGAAGGTAGACATTTTTACGTTGTAAAGCTATGCTGCAGCTATATTATAGTTGTAGCACGAATAGGTCGGCTCGACTGGGGCAGAACCGCGCACAGAATACCAGCGTAAAACAGCAGCGTAATGCTTCTGTTTCGTAGGGTGAGTGTAGAGAACCGGAGACCCTTTTGAAACTGAAACTGAAATCGAGGTATTCCATCATAATCCTCAGGGGTGACAGCGCATTTGCATTTTGATCTTTAATTGAGGTTTAATGCGGATGTCTATGGGTCACAGCAACCACTTCAGGTGGACTATGTGCCCGTTTGTCACCCTATGTTATATTAAAGAAAATATTAGATTATTTTTAACTTACGGTATCCTACACGCATTTACAGAAACTGTCAATGAAGTCACAGTGAATGAAGATTTCGCTAATGTCGATATAAATATCATAAATTCAAAATTTATAAAAAATTGCAATTAGTCGTTGAGAACCTCATACGATTTTCTACAAAAAGTTTGTCTGAACTAAATTGAACATAAAGACCGATTTACACTTCGACAAGTACAGTAGCGAGTTAACTAGCAAACCTGGAGAGTTAAGTTTGAACCTCGTTTGAACGGCAATAAGCGAGTTAAGTAGCAAGTTAATGGTTAAGTTGAACGGGATAGCCGGCCGAGCTATTTTTCGGCGAGTTAAGTGCGAAGTGCTGCCCTCTCGCGCGTCTCCCGCCACCCGCAACTAAACTCGCCGTTTGTGTAAACGAGTGAGTGTAGTTCAGTGCATAAGTTGACAGGACGCAACGTTTGCGCGCCAAAACGTATAATTTTACTTTTATAATTAAACTCGCCACAAAGTTTGTACGATACTGTTTATTGAATATTTATACGTTTTATATTGAGTTTTAATAATAATATGGACGGAAGATATCATGTATAAATTTGTACAGGAGTTTAGAACACGAATGTTTATATAATAGTAGAAGTTCAAATTGTAAAATTAAACCTGCTCGAAATGCTGCACTCATGAAAATTCTTAAAAACTTCTTTAACAACAACCATTAATAGTCCTCTGACTGGATCATTTAATTCTTGACGTAATCCTAGAACCATCTTAAACGAAAACCGGAAAAATTCTGTAGTCTTGAAACGTCATACTCCAACGAACTCTATGAACTAATGTTCTTAACTAAACTCACAACGAAGACATTGTTTGAACGCTACTGTCCACTTAACCGTTTACTGTCAACTGTCCTGTGACTAAACTCGCTACTGTACTTGTCGAAGTGTAAATCGGTCTTAAACTGAAGTTATGTATCAAGTGTATGCGTTCGTGCGTGCGTCTTTATTTCTAGTCTCACGTATTTACCGTTCATTGCTTAATAGGGCCTATATGACTCACCCACGGGATAATATGGAGTAGTGGATATTCTTACACAGCCACACACATTCCGTGGGTGTCGTAAGAGGCGACAGAGTGAATAACAATTCAGAAGCGTCTTCCCTAACTATAGGAAATATCCCCCCATATAAGGCAATCTACGGGGGAGGCCTATGTTCAGCAGTGGACTTAAATAGGAAGTAACAGTATATGACTCGGCCCATAATGCCAAAATAATGTATATCATAATTTTCTGGATTACCTACGTCAATAATGTAGTTGTACCGTAGATCGTATATTAAATTCGGAGTAAAGCGCACTAGTATGCCAGATACGATTTACATGATTACATAAATGACTTTGAGCTAACAATGAAAATAAATCGCAGCTTATTACAAAACCGTCCTATGCAAATTCATGCTAGCTATCGCTAACTTAGTAACTAAAAATAAACTAGCAAGGACGTTGATGTTAGATAATGATCACTCAATAAACCGATACTATGTAATAGTTCTTCAAAATACCACTTGGTGAGCTGCTATGTAAATAAATACTCGTATAAGTAGCAATGTGTTAAAGTTTTCGGAATTATTATTAAATATGTTCTATAATTTTAATTTATTCGTTTATATAACATGGCTAGGATCTTGATACAAAGCATATTTAATACGATACTGAAATAAAATATTTTATCGCGAGCGTTTAGGAACATTTGTAATATTTGAAGTGACAAACGGACTAAACGTATTGTTATTATTTACCAAAAATATGAAATATATGCTGTGTAGTGATTTTATTTGTCTTTGCCATTTACAAAAAATAGGAATATTGCAAAAATTTGAAGAAGTCAATTTGCATGATACGGACGCAAAAACAGCCAGAAGAACTACATTAAAGTTATATCCAAGGACTTTTTTTAAAATAACTTGTTTCTTTGAAATAAAAAAATAACTCACCTGCCGAGAAAAACAATGGCACGATCTCGTCTCGATGCCAGCATACATCTATGAGCGGATTGAGCAGCGGCGAAGACATGAGGAGGCATATCATCTGCACGACAGCCACGGAACATGGCTGCCACCTAAACAAAGTTTAAGTATACGTAATGGTATTAACTATGTAACTTAATGATGGTGACTTCGTAGAATCTATCATCCTACTTTGTTTCGAGCGATTCGTAAAAGTTTCTACAGAGAATGAAAGATGTCACCTCACATGGTATTTCATACGTAGTAGAGCTAGACTGCAGCTACATTATAGTTGTAGAACGATTGAGTCAGCTCGATCGGGGAAGGACCAAACTCTCACAGAATACCAGCGAAAGCTTAAAGCTGTGTTTCGTATGGTGAGTGTAGAGAACCGGGGCCCCTTTTTACTGGAAACGAGGCATCCTATCTGAGTCCTCAGGGGTGACAACGCATCCGCATTTTAATTTTCAATTGAGTATATAATATGTACATATCAATGGGCCACGACATCCACTTACCATCAGGTGGACTGGGTGCTCGTTTGTCACCCTATTCTACAAAAAAAGCTTCTATAGGGAATAAAACCCAACACCTCACATGGTCTTTCCAACCATCCGTTTATACGGATCGAATCTTAGTCTACTACTGAACACATCCCTCCTTCATAGATTGTCTCCATAGTTGCCACGCTTGCCAAGCGGATTGGCAACCGCAGTTGTTTCATTTGAGATGGGAAGGCTACTTATCCTGATTTGTTTCCCTCTGTCGCCCCTTACGAATCCCAGGGATGATACGGGGAAATGAATATTCTCACACCGCTGGTACATGGTAATGATGTTTAGGTACTTTTAACTAATTAAAAAAAATTATTTACTTTTTCGGTGTAGATTGGCGCCGTCCGTCTCGGTGGCCCAAGTACTAGGAGCGCATGACCAGCGCGGGCATGCGGCAGGCCAGCGGCGAACCGCGAGCGAAGGACGTTTAGAGCTCCACATTCATTGAGGCATCGCAACGAAGCTATGTCCTCACAGCGCTCGAGTTGAGGCGGGTTGGCCTGGAACATCAGTTTTCATTTAGACATCATTCTATTACTGATTAAGTAGATTGAAATTATAATTTATCATAACTTAAATAAAATCATGATTTTATATCTTTGTAAACTTAGAAAACTACAGTTAAACAGTTTAAAACCGGCTGGCAAAGAAAACTAAATCATAAAATATTATAGTTAAAAATAAACAAGTCGACTGATTGCATTAATTTTAACCAAACTTCGCTTTTGATGTTTAAATTCATTTCGTGACCTACTAATGTAAGACTAAGGGAATGAAATGAAGCAATATGGTCGACGAAAAGTCATTTGTAAGTAAATTTACTCAGTAACCGGTCGCATTAGATAGAATTACAAAAAAATATTATGTAAAAAGTTGTTGATGATCGATCTCAACGTTTCGAAGTCACGAATGATTTATTGATGTTTATTTAACGCTCGGTCATTGCTTAATTATTACTTGCTACATAAAATAACTGTTTCTTAGCGACCTATTATTATAACCTAAGACCGACAGAAAACCTTTTTTTTTTCAGAGACTAAAATCACAGTATATAATAATTGTAAGTCAAAATTAATTAGATCACACCGAGTTATCTAGAATTTGAGTAGTCTGGTCGTTACTCCAGTGTTATAATATCCTACGCAACTTTAAGGTCTATGGTCGTCGTTCAATTTAATATCTTTCTGTCTATAAAGTCAAGGCCAGGAAACGAAGAAATAATTATAAAGAGCCTTACTCATAAAAATCAACGTCGATTTAATAATGCCCAGTTATCTCTCTCTCTCTCTCTCTCTCTCTCTCACACACACACACACACACACACACACACTCTCTCTCTCTCTCTTTCTCTCTCTTAACTGAATGATATATAAAGAGACAGGAAAAGAGATAACTAACAATAAATGATTACAAATTATTTAAAAAAAGCTGGAATCAAAAAAATATGAAATGGAAATTTTAAAAATACACACATATCCATCATTAAATAACTTATAGTTTCGTTATTCCAATTCCTTTAAAACTCTGGGAGAATAAGTTGCGTGTCCTTTTATTGTGAATATTTATTAGATATTCCTGGGGTATATTTTAAGTCAAGCTCCTTAACTGATTTTCATCTAACATAAATCAAAATACAAGAAACATCACACAAAGAAAACCGCATTTAAGGAGCTAACATACAGACACAAAGACATCAAACTTATTACATCGTCTTTTTGCTTTATTATTATATTAGATATATTTCTGATAAATAAACTTATATATAAACCTCCAATATAGATATATTTATAATTATCAATATATCGAAAATTCAATGTTTTAAAAATTATCAACAGTTTTGGTTTGAACTGATCAGTTGGAATGATCAATTGAACTGACCGTGTGTGGCGTCCATTAGTATATTAAATTCAAATTAAATGAACCTTTTCTAGATCATCCTCGTCTGCCACCAGGGTCTCCCCAGTCTGCAGGACTCGAACTCTCGCGCGGCCGGCGTCCGCGTCGCCCTCCCTCACCACGGCGGTGAATCCGCCGCGGTGCGCCAGCCACATGTGACCCGCCTGCAGCCATTCCTTTTCGCAAGCCAACTGCTCCTCGGATTTTGCCTGAAGAAATAAAAATTATTAACATTACAACCTTTTTTTCTTTGAATTCGGTTTTATAGGATAGAAAGATAGTAGTACAGATTTTAAAAATAATACGTTTTTCAATTTATTTTTAATAATGCATCATTATTCATTATACTATTTTTGACACCGAAAAATCTTTTACAAATAAAGTTGAAAGCTGTGCTGCATATGTTTAGCGCCGTCTGTGTACTTCCAATCGCTTATAATAAATTACTCGAAACCATAGCTACAGTCGCAAGCCTATCTACCATACTGAATTAGTAAGAAACACATTCTAGGTAGTAGGAACATTCTAGATAGCAGAATTTATAATAGGACTTCAAACGTTCACACTTGTTATTTTAACTACTTTTTTTTAATTTTTAAACCAAACAAATGCCGCAGCTATTACTTGGTTTAACTATTCCAAGTAGTTAAATGATGTGGTAAGTGTGGACGTTAGAACATGTGAGTTTTTAAGTGTCCTTCCATTTGAAAGCATTGCTTTCTTCAGGATTTATATCGTACGGAATAGATACATATTTCTAACCAAAGCGACCATAAAATGTTAGCTTCAACTATAAGCTCAGATATAGTTATATAAATGAAACAGTTAATGCTATAAAGATAGTTTCGAGTTGCACGAAAACGCACTCGCTATCGTTTAACTACTCGCTATAATTTGCTAAAAACCCGCGTTTATAGCAAATTATAGTGAGTAACCACCTAGCCACAGGAGCCGTAATATTTTATTATTATCATTATTTTTATAGAATATGGGTGACAAATAAGCATATAGACCACCTTTTAAAAAGTGCACTTACTATTCTATGGCCTAATCCATCCTCGATTAAGAATCGAAATGCAGATGCGTTGTCACCCCTGAGGATTAAAATGGAATGCCTCGTTTCCAATTAAAAGCGCTCGGTTCTCTACAGCCACAATACGAAACTGTTTTACGCTGGTATTCTGGGAGAGCGTCGTACTTCCATGGTCGAGCTGACCCATTCGTGCAACCATAATATAGCTGCAGCATGCCTCTACTACCTATAGCAGTAAGGCTGACTATCGAGCAAACTGACCACGTAAAGGTAAGTGAATGCTTAAGCCTATACACCCAAATTTATCCCTGATTCATGATCAAAATGCAGATGCGTAGTCATTCTGAGTACAAAGTTAAGTACTCGTTACCGGTCAAAAGCGTCTCCGATACTTGTCACCCACCATAAAAAAACACAGCAGCGGCTGTTAACTACACGCTCGTGTTTTGTTCATATATAAAGTTTAAATATAATACTCTCTAATATACAAAAAATAATGTTTGTTCGTATTTTATTATCTACCACACCGTTAATCTGATTGCGATTAAACTTTGTCAACCTGTTTGTACTTGCGCTAAGGTTATAGGCATAGTACTTCTCTGCGGAATTGTTTACCACCGGCGATTTTTCCGGACTGATACGACTCAGGGACCTTCAAGAAAAGAGCTTACTCCTTTCTAAAAGGCCAGCAACGCACCTGCAATTCCCCTGGTGTTACAGTTGTTCACGAGCGGCGGTAGTCATTTACCATCGGGTGAGCCGCATGCTCGTTTGTCCCATCTTCTATATTAAAAAAAAAAACAATTGACTTACAGTAAATAGCGCGCGTATGGTACCAACAAATTTATTTGAAAGCTATATAAAACCAACATTATTATTATTCATAATTAAACTAATATAATTCTTAAATTTAAAATGATATTATCCACAATTATTTCTTCTGCGGCAGCAATGCGCCGGGTAGGTACTCAGCTAGCGTGGTATAGTGGTATATAAAATTGAAGGATATTGCCATGTCGTAGAGGTGTAAAAGGATCCATCACTCCATTCTGTCCCGTGAGTGCCGTGAGAGTCGCCTATACGAAATGTTAGAAAAACCTTACAACAGATTGCAGTAGAATAATCGCGTTTATGCCAGCGTTAGCGATGGAGACAAAACTTCAGTTACTGCGGACAGCTAACCCGCCTGCTAAATGCAGCTAATATGACAAATCCAATAACGGGAGAGGGCCATATCCAAATATCTATCCGTTGACTTTGACGGACTAATGAAAAACAAAAAACCGGCCAAGTGCGATTCGGACTCGCGCATGAAAGGTTCCGTACCATCGTACATGATTTCATATTATGTAGGTAGAATATAGCAATACAAAGTCTGTGAGTATTTCTACTTGTTGTCATTATTGAGATCGAGCAAAAAAAGCCAAAAAAAAAACACGTTGCTAGAAAGTGAAGTCCCCTTTAATTTATAATTCATTTTTATTTATATTATTTGATGTTGTAGCGGCAACTAAAATGCTGTGATACACATTCTGTGAAAATTTCAATTGTCTACCTATTACGGATCATAAGATATAGTCCGCTGATATACGGACAAACAGACAGACGGCCGGACGGACAGCGGAGGATTAGTAATAGGGTCCCGTTGGTTACCTTTTGGGTATGGAACCCTAAAAAGGATAATGTATTGTCTAGAACATTACTACAGGTTGTGTAATCACAGTGATTCAAGTGATAAAAGTAGTTTTATAATAAAATTTATTAATTTCCTTAGCCCGTTGATTTGGTAGAGTTTAAGTTCTAGATGATATTTATTTTCTAAGTGTGTCTGGGTTTCTTTACATCAAATAGACCACAGTAAACATTTCTATGCCTTATTTACACATTATATAACAGATAACAGATGCATATCAGCTTAAGAGATAAGTTGAAGATGTTACTCAATAGTAGATGATATTAATAGAGGTTATTAAACTTCATAACGGGTTAACTGGGCATAGCATATTCAAGAAAACGCCATCTAGCAAGCATCACTTTTAAGATTTTCACAAACTCACCACGCTGCTAGAATGGGTTTTTGTAAGTCACATTCGCTACGGTTGTTCACTTAGTTTCTATACAATTTCCGTTTTGATTCCAAGTTTTGGTATCGATTTTAGGATACCAGTTTCAAAATACCGATTATTTAGGTTTCGGTTAAAGTTCTGGCCGTGTAGTTGCGGTTGAGAATATCCACTACCCCATATCTTCCCGTGGGTGTCGTAAGAGGCGACAGAGGGAGACAGGCAGGAGATGGGCAGCAGCATCTTCCTAATAACAACAATAACATAATAAAAAACTGCGGTTGCCAACCCGCTCGCCAAGCGTGGCAACTATGGCAAATATCCCCCCATGAATAACGACGCAAACAAACGGCCCCCAGTCCCCGGCGGCCCCGCTATTCCCGGCTACGGTGGCGACCATGGTAACGGCGGGGCAGGGGGTGCTAAGAATCTCCGGTGGAGGTTCGGTTGCCACCTACGACGACTCGAACTGGCAACGTATAACGCACGCAACTTGAGGACTGACGAGAAGATACTGGAGCTGGAAGAAGAGGTAGACAAGTTGCGCTGGCATATTATTGGATTATCTGAGGTCCGAACAGAGGGGGAGGACACGGTAACTTGTTCTACCACCGGGAGGGCGACCATCTGTCCCAAGAAGGTGTCGGATTTATCGTCCACAAGTCTCTAGTCAACAACGTTGTAAAGATTGGGAGTGTGTCGATGAGGGTCGCGTACCTGATACTCAGAATCACCAAACGGTATTCGCTGAAGGTCATACAGGTCTACGCACCAACCTCGGGACATCCCGATGAGGATGTGGAGGAAATGTATGAGGATATTTCTAGAGCCATGCATTCCTCTAAAACCCACTACACGGTGTTGATGGGAGACTTCAACGCAAAACCAGGCACAAGAGAAGGCGGTGAGCTGAAGTTAGGGAAATTTGGAGTAGGGCAACGGAACCGTAGGGGCCAGCAGCTGGCTGACTTTATGGAGAAAGAGGGACTTTTTATGATGAACTCTTTCTTCCAGAAGCGGCCCCACAGGAAGTGGACCTGGTCGAGCCCCGACGGTTCGACAAAAAATGAGATTGACTTCATTATGACGACCAAACGCCAACTGTTCAGTGATGTCTCTGTGATCGCAAGGGTAAAAACCGGCAGCGATCACCGAATGGTTAGAGGCACACTGAACCTAAACGTTAAGTTGGAGAGGTCTCGTCTAATGAAGTCAACGCTCCGTCCCCCTCGTGCTTTATTATTATTCATCCAGAATCCCGAAACCTTTCAGCTCAAATTACGTAACCGCTTTCAGTGCCTAGAACATTGCAATGCAGTGGACGATATGAATGACAAGCTCGTGGAAACTGTCCATGCGGTCGGAGCTAAGTTCTGCAAGACCTGCCGCAGAAGAACACAAAACTCTCCGATCACATTCTTAATCTCATGGCTGTTAGACGGGAGATGAGGCTGCAATCGTCAACAGATTTGACAGCATACAGGCAACTGAACAGACAGATCTCCAAATGCATGCGGCGAGACTTACGCAACTTTAATACTGCTAGTATTAAAGAAGCGATCGAGCGGAACCAGAGCTCCAAAGTCTTTGCCAGAGATCTGTCTGCCAGAAAGAGCCAACTGTCAAAGCTGAAGACTGAGTGTGGCAGCATCGTTTCCGGGACACCTGAGATTTTGAGTGAGATTGAGAGGTTCTATGGGCAGCTGTACACATCATCGTTGGAGCCACACGCAAGTGTGAGTAACGATCCAAGAGCAAGTCTTACCCGACACTATTCCGATGATATTCCGGACGTCAGTCTGAGCGAGATTAGAATGGCTCTCCAGCACCTTAAAAACGGCAAGTCCCGGGACGAGGATGGAATTACAGCGAAGCTTCTGAAAGCGGGTGGAAAACCGGTACATGAAGTCCTTCAGAGGCTCTTCAATTCCGTCCTCCATGGTGACACTACTCCGGAGGCGTGGAGCAGAAGTACGGTGGTCTTGTTCTTTAAGAAAGGCGACAACGCTCTCTTGAAGAACTACAGACCGATTTCCCTTCTGAGCCGCGTCTACGTGCTGTTTTCGAGAGTCATTACGAATCGTCTCGCACGCAGACTCGACGACTTACAGCC